CGCTATTCATTCAGGTTTACAATATGAAACATGATGTAATTAATGTGCAATAAGGAAGTAGCTCCTATATTAACCGATGATATCTGTACTTTATATGAATATGCTTTTATGTCATAAATACGACCTTATTCAAATCTACGAGTACTTCATTTTATTGCAAAAAAAAGTTCATTTTCTATCATTATTTCAAAATAGTAAAATAATACATTTAGTTGTTTTATTTGCAAGTTTCTTTGTTTTTTTATAGCATATCTTTTGAACGTTTATGTGATTATCTTTGTTTACAATCAATTATAATTGAACAAATCGTAGCAAAATTTATGCGACGCAGTTATTAAATGAATTAAATTATTTACATTATTCTAAAATTCTTCATTTAGATATACAAGTAAATAATGAATTTCTGTTTTGATTTTTTTAAAATTTTGTATTTATGTAGCCAGAAAATATTCTGATTAAAATTGAACATGATCAAATAAAATTGTTATTTGAGTAATTTAATTCGTTTATCAAATATGAAATATGTCCATCTTATGAATGAAAATATTGAATTTGCTGAACTAGAATTAATTCATGAAAACATTCCTATTTATTATAAAACAGATATTCGATAGAATAGAATTAGAAAAAAACATATTTTATTCAATTTTTATTTTCTTGAAAGGCCATTGGGATTTATTCTATATACATTATTGTCCGGTCTTTTATCATTTCTTGATGAACACACGTATTCAAATATGATAAATAGTGATTTTAATTTTCTAGAAAGCCAACTACTGTATGCATCTTAAGCAACAAAAAATTTTATTGAAATGATTTTTGTTCTCGAGTCAAAGTAAGATTTCTTTACTCTTATGTGAATCATTAACATTGATTCAAATCGAAAATTTTTCCGTTTCAAACCAAAGTACATACATCTTTGCGGAATATATTTATAGCATTAATCAGGGCCATTCAATCGATAATATTACTGAAAAACGCATGCATTGGCCTGACAAATCCTATTATTACTTTTCTGAATCGTTTGTTTATTTAGAAAAAAACTAATAGGCAGTAATTCTGTATCTTTGTGTTTGAATTTTTCTATAATTGAATACATCTTCTAGAAATGTATTCTAGTATGTTTTTTGCCCTAATTCATCATCACCATTTTATGAGATGTGTATGTGTGTAACTCGAGAACTCTCTATTTCTCTTGACTTTCACATATCGTTACAAATAAAACACTCGTTACAAGTTTTTAAAAAAAATCTTCGAAAAGTCATCGAGAACTAAAATATCGTTGTTAGAGTACAATTGAGCAGTCAGAAGAAAAGAGATATATAGTAACTAAAGTAGAAAAGTGGTTGATTTTCAATTAAAAACTTAGTTTTTAAGATTTAGTCTAAATAGAATGAAACTGGCAATCTACTCAGCGCTTCCACTCCCTTCATCATAGACCTCGTTAACTTACAATCAATGGTTGTATATGAATAAGGTCTTTGTATAATATAGGAGCTACTTCCTTATTGCACATTAATTACATCATGTTTCATATTGTAAACCTGAATGAATAGCGCTAACAAATTTTTCGCTTAAATTAAATAAATTTTATTGTTAAGTAATCATTGATCAGCAAGTAAATGTTTTCATCAAACTGATCCATATCATATATAAACAACTAATTTCAATAATTTCATTGAACGAAAAAATATTTTAGTTAATTGATGAACAGGTTACTTTTTGAAATGAAATTGTTCTTTTTCTTCACATGTTTATATAAACTAATATGTGTATTGTTGCACGCCATTGTTTTTCTCCACTAATAATAACGTTTGATACAAAGGTAATGGCCCATAATTTCGATCCATATTCTTTTCGATAAAAAAGTGCTAAAAGAAAATAAAGCTTTTTGTCCTCTTTCGAATCATATATAACCTATTTTTTTTAAACGTTCATACGCGAAACGACGCAACAAGAGAAGCATTCTTAAAAATAATCCGTACTTTGTTTTTTTAATAAAAGAACTGCATACAATGCCGATTCTGATATCTCTTGTATAAATAGGTCTCGATAAGAATATTTTTTATCAGTTGATAGGACACTTTTTCTTCTTTCGAATGGTGTATAAGTCATATTTATCATATATTGGTAAGCGAAACAAAATGAGAAAACAGAGAAATAAGTTTTTAATTTTTATATGAATTCGTCAAAAGCATCTTGTAAAACGACAGTTAATTATAGTTAACTGTCATCTACAAGATGTTTCTAACAATTTCATGAAAGTCAAAGTAACTACCGTTTTAAAAGATCTTTCTAACGAATACATAAAAATTGAATTAAGTATTGTGTAACAAGGTGCTTTCGACGAGTTCTTGAAAAAAATTACAAATTTATTTGCTCCAGCGTTTTTTTTTTGTTCCTGTCATATCATTTAGGAATTTGTGACAGATTTAAAATATACACTCTTTGAAAGAGAATAAAATTTTCCATCAAATGATAAGAACATATTCATTTCGAAGCTTGTTTATCCAAGGATTATCAAAACAATATAGGAATCATCATTTAGCGCCATTCTTCTGAATTTCATGAAAAGTTCAGATTCTTTTTCAGGGTGTTTCTCTTTCTTATTGCCTTATTTCGTTTATGAACACGTTATAACAATAAGTTATTTACTATTCGAAAAAGGACAAAAAGCTCTATCGTTTGGCAAGAAAAGTCTTCGTTCAGCACCTTTTTATCGAAGAGAAGGCAGATCGAAATTCTGTACTATTTTACTTTAGCATCGTACCTTATTATAATTGTAGTTTTAATAAATAAGTTTTCTTGATCTTGACTATATTCAACATTGTCGATAAATCATGATTACTTCTATTATTCTTCTTGCTATCTTTGTTAATTATGGTCAATCACAAACTGAACTTATTTTACCAGCATTACCCTATGACTATTATGCACTTGAACCAATTCTTTCGGAGCATTTAATACGATTACATCATGATAAGCATTTTCCAGAATATAAAACAAAAGCTAATGCTATACTTAAATCAATAATGGATGATGAAATGTATAATAATCAATTAAAGGATTTAGCTAAACAACCAATTGAATATATTCTTACTCATATTCAACAATTACCAGAGGAATATCAGTTACCTTTACAAAATAATGGTGGTGGTTATGTCAATCATAAAATTTTCTTTTCTATGTTACGTAAGCCAACAGTTACAGCTGGTGAAAATCTACCAACAGGTTCATTGCTTGAAGCTATTGAAAATAGTTTTGGTTCATTCGATAGATTTAAAGAAATGTTTACTGCTGCATCAGTTAATACTTTCGGTTCCGGTTGGATTTGGCTCTATATTGATGCACAATCAAAATTGCTTTCTATTAATTTTACAATTAATCAAGATAATCCGTATGTTAGATAGACAATAATTATTATGTATTTTTTATTCTTCATTTATTATGTATATAAATAATCTCTATTTAGAATTATGTTTGACAAAAATCATGTCGTTCTTTTATGTATTGATCTTTGGGAACATGGTTAGTATAGAAAGAAATAACAAACAAAAAATCGATAATAATAATGTATATATTTTATTTTAGCTTATTATCCTGTTTATGAAAATCATCAAAATGAATATGTTAATAACTTTTGGCGTATTATTAATTGGCCATTTGTAGAATCACTTTATACTCAAGGAATTACTAAACGTCATAAGCTTTAAACAACGAACAGTTTTCGTTTTATTTAAAAAAAAACTATTGGGTGTTGATCGTTGATTTGCCATTGTTTTTTTGAACATTTTTGTTAATTAGAAGCATTAAAAAAGCAAAAGAAAAAAAAAACAAAAAGGCTCAATGAACTTTTTTCTTCTAAAATGATAATGAAAGGACTTAGTGTTGTTTAGTTTCGAAATGATTTATCGTTGCATGATAATGAAGGGGATCCGTTACTTTTGCGTATATATCGAGGGTGTGGGTGTGGGTATTATCCATTCAACACATTCACGCCGATACCCACCCACCCACACCCTTATTCGATGAAGTTTTTCGAGTTGAGTTCAAATATCATCCACATTGTGGTGGAAAATAAAGTATTAATAGTGAAAACTATCAAAACCGGACCAGTTTTTATGATATTTTCTGTTGATATTGAAAAGATCGAATTTCTTAATAACGGTAACCTTGTTTTGAAAAATGATGCATCACTTTTCTCTCACCTATATGATGAATATAAGGATTAAAAAATATTTCGTAAATATCTGTCCTATAAGAGGAGTTGACAGGTTTTTCATATTCGAATTTTTATATACTTTTCGACTATTTTTACCTTTTCTCGCTAATTTTCTTCATAAAAACGTCGCTTGAAAGATTTAAGACATACATATTCTTGTAGAACTCAATAAACTCTATCTAACCATACTAGAAAAAAAGACGAAAAACAAGTTTGCTTAAATTTCGAATTTCTAGCACCTTAGAAAAAATAAATTTTGGAAAGCAAGTCTTAATAACAAATTAATACTTGATATTCTGTGCTAGGTAAAAAATCTTTACTGAATTTTAAGTTAGGCTAGATGCTCCACCCTTACTAATGATTATAATCGATTCGAAAGTCTCACAGATTTCATACATTTCAGGGAGTTATAATCGACATACCATGATTTTTGATGATTCCCGTCTGAATGATTATAATCGATTAAAAAACTCAATCGATTCCTGTGAAGGAAGAGATTAAAATCAGTTAAAAACTAACGATTCTGGATCATTTATGCGAAAAGATCGATTACAATCTTCCATTTAATCAAAAACAAATCACGATTACTTGATCCCCATCAATGAAATAGGTTTCAAATCGATTAAAATCCTGAATCTGTTGATTTTTCTGTTTGTTGTTCCACCTGAAATACACACCCTCATCCACACATCCACACCGTTCGCTTTTTTAATATTTCATATGACAATTCCAGTTTTTGAATTCATACTGCAAAATCAAATACGACGATTCAATTGGAAAAAACATGAAAACGATTTAGTTCTGCACGAAGATTTTCTAAGCTATGACTTTCAAAGTAAAGATTTATGATGAAATACAGTTTGTGAGAAAATATATCTGTGATGAGTTATTTTAAGATGATTTTGCTAGGTTGTCAGCGAAAAGTTCAGCCAATATTGGAATTTTTATGCATCTAAAATCAAAATCAAGTGTCATATCTAAAAAAAACTTTAAACTATTTTACCCAATAATAAATTGCTCTTTATTTACAGTTCCATTTTCTTCAGATCTGAGCAAGCTTAATATTTCATCGGCAATTGTTGCCGGATCTTTATCATCGGCTTCATGCTTTTCCCCAGATAGTGCAAACTAAAGGCAATTAAACCGAATTTATATTTTTTACAAAATATCATCTGATGACATACCACGTTCGTTATAAAAACGATCAATTCATTTTTATTAATCTGTCCATTGCCTGATATGTCACGCCTAAAAACTCGAGAGGATAAACATCAAAACCAGAGAACTGAATCTGCCCATTCTTACATCTCAAACAGGTGACCGTACTTTATTACCACATCGGTGTTAGAATCGCATGCTAACATGAATAAGAATTCAGCAAAATCAATTACACCATCATGATTTTGGTCGAACACGCTAAACGCATTGCTTGAAAGAAAATGATGATACACTACTGCAGTCTTTCAAATATCATTAGATCTATTAGCAATATACTCGTAATTTTTTCCTGCTTCCTGATCATCGTTTGCAATTAGTTGACAATACTTAATAAATGCTTTAATTGTTCATTTTTCCATCTGGAAACTCCTCCCAGAATTCCTAATTCAGGAGAAAGAAAAAAGCAGACTTTATTTCGTTGACAAGTCAAAACATACACCATGTATTTTTCTGATTTCTATCAATAAACAAAAGAACATTATTAATGAGATATTTAATTGAGAAAATATTAAATGAATACCTTCATCGCTGAGATTTGACGACTTTCTCAATATTTCAATATCTATTCAAATATAATACCAATGGACAACTTCAAGACCAATCTATATGAACTGACCTTGTTCGGTGAGAATTCGACCGGTTTCATGTTTCATGTCCAATGATTTAGCCATGATTAGTTGTTTCGCAATGAATCGATCTAGAAAATATTATTCCTAGTCCTTTTTGTTCGCAATCATAGTTATTTAATGAAGAGAGAAAAAGAAATATTTTCAAAATTATTAGTCGTCGTTATTTAGTGATTGGCTGTTTGTCAAATGCGACGTTTGAAATATGTTTCATTCCTTTTGCCACTCGTGAAACAAGTATGCGATAAATTGATTTCTTTTTTCTTTCTTTCCTGTATAATTTCTCGTTTTTCAGCTCGATCACTCAAAAAGGAGCCACGTCTTGCATAGCAGTATATGCATCTAGATTTATTTGCATGAGGACAGATGAAAGAAAAATGTGATTAGTCAGAGATTTTTTCTATTCAAAAATTATTTGATAACGATTCTGTATATTATTTATTCCCTGTTTTGTTTTTCTCTCCTTGACCGAGCTACAAGTGTACGCAAAAGAGTGATATTTATAAATGCAGTTATGAGTAAAATGATCTGTCTGTTTTCTTCTAAATTATGCATTTCATTATAATAATAACAGGGGTCGCAGCGGTGTCATGTAAAAAATCAGGAATCAGGACAGGAATTTTCGAAGAAAAAATCAGGAAAACGGTTCCAAAATCAGGAAAATCAGCATTGCTTGGAAACACAGGAAAATATGTAAATATACGCATGTGTTTTAACGAGGTGCACAACCTGTTCGTCTATTTCATTTTTCATACTTCTTGTTGTTGCGAGACACATATCTTCTCATTTCTCGTTTCTGATCGTACTTTCGCGTGGTACTTTCCTTCCAATGTTTCGTCGATGGTCATGTACATGAAGTTCATCTAGTATTCGTTGAAAGCGATCAGAAAACTTGTAATTTTTACATGTGTGGAGGGTTGAGTAGGGCTGAATTTTATTACTTCCGAAAGAGACTAACTGCTTTAAAATCGTTAAGTTTAAGCTTTATATAAAAATCAACCCCTAAAAACGATATCTCGCTCATAGTTCAACTAAAACAAAGACTGATAATTTATGCTACAATTGGAGACGAAATTTTCTTGACAATGAGTCCTGTTTTGTGCTTTTGAACTACTGTTGCGTTCGCGCTATATAACACAAAGTCAAGAAAATCAGGACGAATCAAGACGCTTTTAAAAAATCAGGAAAAAATCAGGACAGTAGTGTCGCTGCGACCCCTGTAATAAGCATGCAGAAAGATCAATGATAATTGCGACAATCAACAGAGTGTATCTGACGGAAAGGCACTATATAGCTATTCCAAATCAAACGATAGTTTGGTAACTTTTGTTCGTAGGTAATATTTTGCACGTATAGTAATGCATACACAAGCTGTAATGCTTGGATTAGATTCGAGTGACAAGTCACATCGTTGCACGAGTATAGTCAATATGACTTCGGCTTCGAGTAAAGCGAAATTCTGACCGATACAGATATGTCATCCAGCAGAAAATGGTAAATAGCAGAATGGATGGTTAATTTTGGTTTCAGAACAGTTACCGAATAGGGTAACGATAGAGTGCAATCGAACTCAAGAATTCGAGACCATAAATCTTCACGTCGACAAAGGGCATAAGTATTAAATAAAACAAAGAGACGCATAATTGACGTTGACCTTCTTTACAGATCGTGTGCTCTCGAATACATTGTCTTGAGAAATATTATTCCATGAGGACAAGACGGAGCATCTTTTGTAATACTGCTTAACAAATAAGCAGTTCATTCATGCGATCACGAAACAGTTCGGTATCATTCGGTAATTACTATCGGCGCCAGAAGTCAAGACAGTCGGATGTTTTTCCAATAACTCATGATAGGAACAACCTAGATACCTGCAATTTTCAGCACTTGAGAGCTAAGACCCATGAGCATATTTTCATAAGCAAATACGTTTTTTCAAAAAA